TTGGAAAATACTGTTCCTCGGCACAAAAACCTTTCTCCTTTAAGGGAAAATCGTGGTATATTTGATCTATCTGAAAGACCTGTGAAATCAAATTTGGCTTTACCAGCCATCCGTCAGAGACGAAGCAATGTAATAAATAAGTCTGCCAAACTTCACAGAGGTGAAAAAGCCGTACAAGCCTTTCTTCAAGCTGGCCACAAGCAATTTTGCACTGAAGTTAAATTCCTTGAGAGCCAAAATTCAAGCAGCACTGAATCTCAATACATTACGCATCAGAAAACCCATAGAGTAGAGAATCTGCATGCAGGTAGGGAATGTGGGAAAATCTTCATTAAAAAGTCCTTCCTTGCTGATCATCAGCTCATTCATGCTAGAGAGAAACCCTATAGATGCAGTCTGTGTGGGGAAGCCTTCGCGAAAAACTTCAAGCTTCTTGAGCATCATCATACAATTCATAAAGGACAAAAACCGTATCGGTGCTCAGAATGTGGCAAAGCTTATCTCCATAAGCCGCAGCTCAATGAACATCAGAAAACACATATGGCAGAGAAGCCCTATACATGCCATGAATGTGGAAAAGGCTTCATCAGGAAGAGCCATCTCACTATTCATCACCGAATTCATACAGGAGAGAAACCCTACGTATGCAGTCATTGTGGAAAAGGCTTTATCAAGAAGACAGATCTCACTGTTCATCTGCGAACTCATACTGGAGAGAAACCCTACATTTGCAGTTATTGTGGAAAAGATTTCAACCACAAGGGTAGCCTCATTATTCATCAACGGACTCATACCGGAGAAAAGCCCTACATATGCAGTGAATGTGGAAAAGGCTTCAAACATACCGGAAGTCTGGTTGTTCATCAGCGGACTCATACCGGAGAGAAACCCTACGTGTGTGGTGAATGTGGAAAATGCTTCAAACACAAGGGAAGCCTCATTATACATCATCGAACTCATACTGGAGAGAGACCCTATCTATGCAGTGAATGTGGAAAAGGCTTCAACCAGAAGGGAAGTCTGATCATTCATCAGCGAACTCATACTGGGGAGAAGCCTTATGTATGTGGTGACTGTGGGAAAGGCTTCAGCCAGAAATTATGCCTCGTAGCGCATCGAAGATTCCACACGGGCCAGACTCCCTTTTCATGCAGTGAATGTGGAAAATCTTATTCTCAACGGTCCAGCCTCAATACACATCAGAAAATTCACACAGGAGGGAAACCCTTTAAATGCAATCGATGCGAGAAAGCCTTCGAAAGGAAAGGAGAGCTCATTGCACATCAAAGATCTCACACAGG